AAGTTGGCTTTAAAATTTCTCAAACATGCCAAACCACCCAAAATGAAAACTACAACTAAAAAGATTCGGTCCTCTACGACTGTTGGTGAACCAAGGGCGGTCAGCCATTCTTTGCGGTGGTTTCTCTTGAAAATGTCCCAAAACGAGAGAAAAAGCTAAAACTCAATAGAAAACAATAACTTTAACATCTCCACATGCCTTTTAAATGAAAATTTACATGTATGCCAAAAGTAAAGTATCTTGATTGTTTTGCTATACATGGTAGTTCTTTTGTAAATGTTAAATGTGATATGATAGTTCATCTGGATATGCTTTCAATTATATCATGTCTTATGTCTATGCTTGTTTATACTTTATCTTATACAGTCGTACCAGAGTACCAGAAATGTACTGATCAAGTACACAAACATATTTTTGGTCATTCTTTTCCTTTCATCTTTTGTCCCAAAGGGTCATATTGCTCATAAGAGCCGTATTTGTGCTTTTGCACCATATTTGGTACTCCGCCTTCAACATGCACAATCATTTACATATTCTTTCTATAGAAACATATGTATGTAGTGTAGCATTTTCATAACAATCATATGCATTGAGTATGAAGCAAGTACATGAAATAGGCTTCTCTGAAATGCTTACTAACAAATAACAATTAATGAGAATTTAATATACTTGAGATCATCAAATATGCATTGATTCATAGAAACATTTCTACATTTCCATCAAATAATAAAGACATTTCATATGCATTTAATATGTATCAAAATCAACTAATGAGATATTTCAAAACAAAAATATAAAAGAACATGAATATATAGAGTACGTTCCTACCTCAAATGTCGCTCCTTTGAAGGTGTCGTTTCCGATCTCTCCTTAATACCTCTTTTCAAAACCTAAGGGAAGAATTTAAAACATAAGTTTTTCTTATATCAATCTAAAATAAATTTTATCTCACTAACTCTCACTAACCCTACACATGTCATTCATTTATTAATCTCCTTAAGCTCATTAATACTCTCTAACTTATCCATAACCTAAAGCTAATTTATTTCATATCTAATCGTGTTCATCAACAATTTCAAATCTCATGTTTCAAATATGTTCCTTCATGAAATGCATAATAATTTCTAATTTTTGGATTTAAAATAATGTAAAATTTAGGGAAAAAATATTTTTTTTATAAAAAATTTCAATTTTCTTTAATTAGAGACCCGTATGACCCTTAGAAATAAATTTAGTTAACATGCAAGGTTAAAATTACAAAATTTGGAAAACTTAAAAATCTTTTAATAAAAATTAATTTCATTGCTTATTCATGCTTCTAAACATCTCCTAACAACATTCCTAAACAAAATTTAATTTTTAAAAGAAACCCTAATTTTGAACATCCTTTAATAAATGTTTAAGTTTTCATGGTGAAAATCCTTGCCTCATCTTTCCCTACAACTTTTCTTCTAGGCTTTGAAGTTTTGAGTAAATCCTAAAATTTCTCTCAAAGAAACTAAGGGAAAAGAAACTTTTCTTGCATTAGAAGCTTACCTTTCTTCTTCCCTAAGCTTTCTCTTCCACTTCCCTCCAAAAGCCTGCCGGAAACCACCGTCGATCACCGGTTCGCAAGCACCCGTCGCTCTTCTCCTCCTTTTCCGCCCGCTCCTTCATTCGGTCCCTTAAGTGTTTGGGCCTTAAGAAAACAATTAAAATGCCAAATGATGCATGTGCCCCTCCTCCCATTAATTCCTTAAGGCTTCATGATGTATCATGAGGGTAATTTGGGCAAAACTAAAAATTTTACTTAAACAAACTTCTACGATTTTTAATTTTCAAACCATGTGAAATTTGGTATACGTTCTTTATACTGTTTCGATCAAAATTTTGTGTAGAATTTAATAAAATTTATTGCGTCGAATTCTGACGACTTTGAAATTTCACCTAAATTCGTCGCGGCGCATCGAAATGCGTGCGACACAGCCGATTGACATATTTCAGGTTTTATAATTCTCCCCTCCTAATAAAAATTTTGTCGTCAAAATTTAAATGAGAGAAAAAATAAATATACCTTACTCAAAGAGATGAGGATGTCACTTCCTCATTTCTGACTCTTTCTCCCAAGTAGCATTCTTCTCCAACCCATGCTTCTATAGAACTTTAACAAAAGGTATGTCCCTGCTCTTGAGTTGTTTCACACTAAACTCCAAGATACGATCCAGTTCTTCAACATAAGTAAGATCTGACTGTAAGTTTACATCTTCTGTTATGATCTTAGAAGGATCTTTTGATATAAACTTTCTTAGAGAAGACACATGAAACACATTGTGGACAATATATGTAGCTGGTAAAGCCAATATGTAGGCTACTTTCCCAATCCTTTCCACAATCTCAAAAGGACCAATGTAACGAGGACTGAGTTTGACAACCTTGCCAAAACGGAGTACACCCTTCATAGGCCTGATCTTTATGAAAACAAAATCCTATATACTGAATTCCACAAAATGGTGCTTAGCATCATAATACTTCTTCTGTCTATCTTGTATTGCTAGCAACCTATCCCTGATCATTCTGATCTTGTTTGCAACATCATCAATCAAGTTTGATTCAATTATCTTCCTCTCACATGGCACTGCCCAACATAGAGGTGTTATACATTTCCTTCTATAGAGTGCTTCATATAGAGCAATTCTTATACTGGCTTGGAAGTTATTGTTGTAAGCAAACTCTATCAAAGGAATATGAGATTCCCAACCTACACCAAAATCAAGAACATACAGTCTCAACAAGTCTTCAAGGTTTTGAATAGTCCGCTCAGTTTGTCTATCAGTTTGAGGATGGAAGACCATACTAAAAGTCAATCTGGTGCTAATAGCCTCTTGAACTTTTGATGCAGGACTACTTAGATGCAATGTTATGAGTTTC